CTTTTTTGCTCAGAATCTGCTCAGCAAAATTTTTTTGTTCATAACAGTATGTGTTCCGCTCATCGACAAAAAAATTAGAGGGAACATTGCTACAGACGTGTAAAAGACTTCTGTATTTCTGAAGGTAAGAGATGAGTCCGAATAATATTTGNTTCATTATAGGTATTTTTACATTCGTTATATTTGAAAATCATTTTTAAATATTAATGTACATGTGAGGTTCATGCTTAATTGTTACTTTTAAAAGACGACAAAATATAAACAATATTATCGTTATTCCAAAGCAATATTTTAATTAAAAAAAACCATTTTAATTTATATTTCAGAACTAAATAGAGAAAAACATACGAAATTTTTCAAGGTTACTTGTATATAAAAAACATAGCTGCCATTAAATTTCGGTTCACAAAAGTGCATTGAACCAAGATATAAGGTGGTCACGTGATATATCTCGTTAGGCGTCAAATTTTATAAAGATTTCGCTTGTGGATATGATTTACACTGTGCTATAACACTGACAAATACCTTCGAAAATAAGTCTTTTGCTGCTTTATATTAATTAGAAATATATAATATTTGTGTAACAAAATGTAATAACAGATGGCGCCACATACAATTTCAGTTATTTCTCTTCATTAGTAATACAAATGTTCTCTCATAAAAGCCAAAAAAGTTTACACAATTTACACCAGTTCATTCAGCATGACTATCGAACATTCGACACAAAGTGCAGGTTTAGTCATATTCGTACTGAATTTAATATATATTTGAAATTGTGTGACAAGTAATGCTTATTGTTATCATCAGTTATTGCTTTTCGAGTTGTAATTTCATTAATTTTATAATTTACTTAATTAGTAAATTGCTTTTTTTCACATAGATTATACTTGAGTGAGAAGTTCGATCTGTTTCACTACTGATATTACAGTATTTTGAAAAATGCACAATGAAACGACTAATCGTTACTACAGCTAAATTGACTTGTACTTGATTGAATTTTTAAAAAGTTTAATATCAATTATAAAATGATAAAACTACATTTAAAAAAAAAATCACGATAGTATATCGAAGAAAGAGAGAATACGAAGATTATCAAAATCAGTCAATCAGAAAATAATTAATCTTTCATACATACAAATAAGAATGTTTGTTTGTTCGTTATACACGCCTAGGCCGTTTGACCAATTGCAACGAACCTTCGCAGTTAGGTTTATATATACTTAACTTAGATAATGCCCTAATCACATCTTAAAATATCTATTTGGTTTCTGTAAACCAATATATTTTTATTCGCATTCGATTTGCTGATTTACACGTAGCGCTATCTATTGACAAAAATCTAACTAAATATAATTCTTATAAAAACATGTATAATTATAAAATATGTATACAATCAAGTGCGCATAAGTCGACATTTCGAGGGAAGTGGAAATGTGTCGAGTTATCCGATATGACGACTAAAACGAAGTTGAAAAAAAACCACAAATCTACAATTAAGAGAATATGATAGTGCTTTATACATTACATGCAATGTATCTCTCTGACCCTTCGTCACTGGCACTAAGTTTGTTTCAACTATAAGATTTCAATCGCTTTTTGTTTCAGTATCCTGAACACGGTCCTGAAACATGAAGATTCGATTAACGAATTTGCATTAGCCAAAGTACCAGAGCATCTTTGACATCTTTGTACGGCAACTTTCTCTCTGGCGTTTTCGAAACAGCCGCGATGTAAACCAAAGAAAAAGTTTCTTAATTTTCTTATTTCTCTTCAGGATTTCCACTAATGTTCTTGGAAGGTTATCTTGGTCTGGTGTGTTTCAGTTATGGCAACGCAACACTTGGGTGATATGCCTTGGAAGATGCCTTCCAGGGGATTTTGTGAAAGAAAACTGGCCACTATTTAGGCGTTACAGACGTAGAGAAAAACCGGAAAACTACACGTGGGCAGTCTGTCCGAGAATTGATCTCGATCAGAAATATCAGCAACATCTCCATTTTTTATATTTTTATCATAAAATATTTTATATATAACAACATAAAGATAAAAATATGTTATTAATCGAAAACTCTTTCAGTGCTTGGTAATTTAGAGGAGTTTTGTTTATATATTTAATACTAGTATTTCAAACAGTAAATAAAACGTGACACGTTCCGTTAATTACTTTTATTAAGCGAAAAATCTATTGTCCCACTTTTTGTTGCCGAAAAAGCCATGTTCCATTGGACCGCCCATTGTTCTAAGTCAGTGGTTCCCAACCTTTTTTCATTAGCGTACCACGTGACATGCCATATCTCTAGATTGTACCCCGTGACACGTCATATCTCTAGATTGTACCCCTCATTTAAGAAATTTAGTGAGTAACCGTATTGTTAATTTTACATATTGTAACTTTAAATTAAAGAAAAAAACCTAAAAGAAAAAATGTATAATAAAGTTGTGATTGTTGCAAGAAACATTTTTTATCTAATAATTTTTTAATACTATTAGTTTGTGATACATAATATATTATTTTTTCTTCCATAATAACTAACTTTTTTCTGTACCCCTAAACAACCTATCGCGTACCCCTAGGGGTACGCGTACCACAGGTTGGGAATCGCTG